AGGTCACAGGGGAGGCATTTAACTTTGTAAGAAACCGCCACGCCATTTTCCACGTTGGCTGCCCCGGCTTGCATCCCACCAGCAATGTATGAGGGCTGAGAACATAGTTCGCATTTCTGTGTTTCGGTGGCAACAGACTAGAATGCCCCATATCCCCCAATGTGCTATATGATATGATTTTAGGTCATACATGGATGAAATTTGTTTTCATATTTTATAGTTACCACTCTATTTTAGTGTTCATTGAAAAAAAAGTACCCAGCATATCAAACCCATGATTTCCTGGTTAGTGTTTAATGGCTAATAACATAGTCCTTGGAGTAGGGTTGCTGGGATTATCTCCTAGATACTTTTCCTACTGGTTGTGTAACCCTGGGAAAGCCACTTAATCTTTCTGAGGCTCACATTTGTCATCCATAAAATGGTTAATAATATCTCATCCACACAGGCATGGTGGCTTATGCCTATAATTTTAGCTCTGGAGGAGGCCAAGGTGGGAAGATCACCTGAGGTTAGGAGTTTGAGACCAACCTGAGCAACAGTGAGACCCCATCTCTACCAAAAATAGAAAAAACTGGGCGGTGCCTGTGGCTCAATGTGTAGGGCGCCAGCCCCATATACTGAGGGCAGAGGGTTCGAAAAGGGTCCTGGCCAAACTGCAATAAAAAAATAGCCAGGTGTTGTGGCAGGTGCCTGTAGTCCCAGCTACTTGGGGGGCTGAGGCAGGAGAATCGGCTAAGCCCAAGAGCTGGAGGTTGCTGTAAATTGTGATGCCACAGCACTCTACCAAGGGTGACAAAGTGAGACTCTGTCTCTAAAATAAATAAATAAATAAATAAAAATAGAAAAAATTAGCCAGGCATGGTGTTGGGCACCTATAGTCCCAGCTACTCAGGAGGCTGAGGCAGGAGGATGGCTTGATGCCAAGAGTTGGCAGTTGTAGTGAGCTGTAATCACACCACTGCACCCTGGGCAGGGTGATAGAACATGACTCTGTCTCAAAAAACAAAAATATCCCTTCCTACTTTATAAGTTTTCCTACAAAGGTAAAACTGCTTAAGTGTACGTAAAACTCCCAGTTTAGAGCTTGGCATGTAAGCTTGACAAATGACTGCCATTATTAGATGAGTGTGGCCCATGGGTGACAGATATATGTTTAACGAGTATTGTTTTGACATCCATGTACACGTGAATACATAATGTATGCACACACAGTATATGTGTACATGGTTAGGTTCCTGGTCTCAGGGATAAGGGAGAGGATGAGTCCTTTTCTTCCTGTCACCTAGGGTCAGGATTATCTTCATGTGCTCATAGGCATATGTGTGTGCCCATAAGTATATCTTTTGGTGTCTGCCTGTCTATGTACACATTGTACCCCCAGGCTCATGATGTCCCTCTTCCTACCTTCCCTATCTGTTCTGCTGTCAGCCAGGGTGCTGGCCCTGTGCTCTCCCTGTCCCACCCCTAGCCTGTACCCAACACCCCCAGCCTGTACCCCCAGGTCCTCCTTGTGAAAGAGAGGTCTTGGGGAATGTCACTGAATGTCCTTCCAGGGCCTGTGTTTCTGGCTCCATCTGTCTCCATTTTATTAGCCTAGAGCTAGTGTTTTCTGAGCCTTTACCCAGGGCCCAGACCCCCAACTGAGATGGGTAGAAAGAAGAGGAAGCATTCTGAAGGGATTGTCTGCCTGCAGTTACTCCATGGATTCTGGGTGGAGGCTGGAGAGGGGGTAACCTCAAAGGAGAGGTTCTGACCAGCAGTTAGGCTCAGCAAGTGTTAAAGAAATGCTCTATTGACGTATAATTGACATACAATAAATTGCACATGTTTAGATTGTTCAGATAGATGAGTTTAACATCCATACACCCCATAGAATTATCACTACAAGCTAGATAAGGAACACAGCCGTTACCCCCAGGTGTAGCATGTGCTGCTCAGTAATCTACCCCACCACCGCCACCCCATGCCCCCGCTTATCTGCTTTTGATGACTATAGTTTGTTTTGTACTTCTTGGAATTTGATAAAAATGAGACGGTGTGGAAGGAGAGGAAGGGCTCGGAAGGGAACAGGGGCCCTGCTGTTGCTCTGTGGATTGTGTGGCCTTTTATAAAAACTTTTAAACTGGCTTATTTCACTCAGCAAAATGATTTCAAAATTCATTTATGTTGTTATTCCTGTCAGTAGTGCATTGCTTTTTATAGCAGAGTCATATCCCATTGTGTAGAGTAGTATTCCATCGTGTGGAGCAGTGTTCCGCCGTGGGGGGCAGTAGTTGTCTGTGGTGGGGGGCAGTGTTCAGCCAGGTAGGGCAGTAGTCTGTTTTGTGGCACAGGAGTCTGTCCATCGTGTGGAGCAGTGGTCCCTCCGCCGTGTGGGGCAGTAGTTCACCGTGTAGGGCAGTATTCCACTGGGTAGAGTAGTATTCCCTTGTTATCCAGTCACACAGAGGACTTTTCCCCCTTATGCTTTCCTTTCCTTATATGGGTATGTCCCTAAACAATGTGTAATGTCGGGCCATGCCTGTGGCTCAGTGAGTAGGGCACCTGCCCCATGTACCGAGGGTGGAGGGTTTAAACCCAGCCCAGGCCAAATTGCAACAAAAAATAGCTGGGCGTTGTGGCAGGTGCCTGTGGTCCCAGCTACTTGGGAGGCTGAGGCAAGAGAATTGCCTAAGCCTAAGAGCTGGAGGTTGCTGTGAGATGTGATGCTGCAGCACTCTATCAAGGGCGACAAAGTGAGACTGTGTCTCTAAAAACAAAACAAAACAAAACAAAAAAAACAATGTGTAATGTCACTTTTTACCAGCCAGTATTTTTTGAAACCAAGAGTCAAGCTGTGTCTGAAGCTGGCCTGGGTTGAGTGGGGATCTTTTCTAGGGAGGGCACCTGTAGCCAGTGTGTGCCACTGTCTGCCTTTCATCCCAACTGTCCTTGTCCTGGAAATGATCTCCCCTCCTCTGCACTAACCAGCAGCCACTCAACTTCTTCCAGGTGGCCTTCCCAGACTGTCAGGGTCTCCTCTGAGCAATTGCAGCCCTCACAGCCCAGTGGCTTCCAAGTCCCTTGCATTGTTCAGCCACTACTGTCTTGTCTTTTGTGAGGGAGAGGGGAGCTCCTTCTCCAGAGAGGCCCTAGCCAGTGCACAGAGTGGCTAGCTGGCCCTGGACCATGGGAACTGATGTCTAGGACCCACTGAGGAAGGAGGAGCAGAGGTGCAAAGTGATGCAAAGGCATGAAAATCGAAGTAAACACAGCCTGGACAGAGGCTGGATCTTCCTGACTTCCCGGATTCCTCTCCAGCACCCTCCCTGTCTCCCATCTCCTTCTTGGAATCCCTCATCCCCATGTAGGGAGTGGAAGGGTCTGGGCAGGCCTGATGCTAACCAGCTCTCTGCATCATTAAGTTCTTGCCTTGGAAGGACCACAAATTGAAACTTCCTGAAGGTCTTTGTCGCACTCTGTGGCTTTCTGCTGCTCCATCCCCTTCCCCTCCTCTTTATGGCTCTTTCCGCCAGATGACCACACAGGTGGGGTTTTACTTCCTGAGGATGGACACAGATCTTGGGGATGAAGTGAGCACCTCCTGGCCCCCAGGCCCTCAGACTGCATATTAAGGCTGTAGGTGCTGCTGTTACTGTCTAGAGAGGAGATCTTCTCTGTTATCACACAGCCAGTTAGTAACAAACACAAGTCACCCACATCCAGTCATATATTCTTTCCTCTCTCTGCCCTATCTCCTGGAAATCAACTGTGTCTTCTCCTCAACAACCCCCTGCCCGTGGTGGCACCCGTAGCTCAGTGGGTAGGGTGCCAGGCACATACCCCGAGGCTGGCGGGTTTGAACCCAGCCTGGGCCAGCTAAACAACAGTGACAACTGAAACAAAATAGCCAGGCATTGTGTCTGGCACCTGTAGTCCCAGCTACTTGGGAGGCTGAGACAAGAGAAACTCCAAGAGTTTGAGGTTGCTGTGAGCTGTGACGCTACAGCACTCTACCGAGGGTGATATAGTGAGACTCTGTCTCAAAAACAAACAAACAAACAAACAAATAAAACCCCCCCACAAAGCCCTGCCCAGAGCTCTGTCCCTCTCTGAGATGTGGTAGGACCTGTCTGCAGAAGTGCTATGCCTCTCTGGCCAGGGACTCTTGCCAGGAACCCTGGAGCCCACCTGTGCCCAGGATGCTGTAGGCTTGGGTCCTGTAAACCAGGGAGGAAGCCTTGGGTACAGTGGTAGCTCATAGCCCAGCCCTGTCAGCCTAGTTCCAATACCCACCCCTCTCTGAGGCTTTCCTAAGATGTGACCTGCCTTTGGTACTTGTGTACTTTTTTGTGTCACAGTGTCTGTCCATGACTATCTTTCTTCCTATGTTGGCTTTCTGAGGATGGGATGTGTGTACGTTTCCTGTCTGTATCTCTAGGGCCCAGGACAGAGCTTGGTATTCAGCTGATGTGTATTTATTGAATAAAATAAATGAACACATCAGTGGCTGGTGGTGGGCAGATAGTAAGTGGTGATGTATCTCATGGCAATGGGTGGTGGTGGGGAGAGAGAGTGGTGGGTGGTAAGCCAGTACAGCAAAAGGTTTTTCAACCTTTTGTATCTCACGGCACACTTGAACCTATAGTTAAACTTCCGTGGCACACTTACGTTGATCAAAAAAAGATTAAAAATGAATATACTTACTGTGCATTGAACTTCTTTCAAAAATAATTGAATTAATAATCTTTAAAAATTTTCACGGCACCCCAGTGTGCTGCATTCCCTTCATACCCAGTTAAAAATTACTAGAGTAGAGTGTGGCAGCTGATGATGCAAAGTGGGAGATAGCAGGAGACCGTGGCAGAGGGGAGGGTGGTGGTAAAGGGTGGCAGTAATGGCTGGGCAGTGGGTGACTTCTGCTTGTGCTCAGCCCTCTGCCCTTCCCTAGGGAACCCTGTTCCGGCTGCTGGACCAGTTAAGTTCTCTGATATTGTGTGTGGCCTACTCCATTGCAGACTCCATCGGGGGCCCTTTCCCGGTCAACCCTCATCGATGCCACCACAAGCAGAAGCACTGCCTGCCGGTGCTGCCTGGTGGTGGCCTCCCGGCCACCCCGCTGCTCTTCCACCCGCACACCAAGGGCTCCCAGATCCTCATGGACCTCAGCCACAAGGCCGTCAAGAGGCAGGCCAGCTTCTGCAACGCCATCACCTTCAGCAACCGCCCGGTCCTCATCTACGAGCAAGTCAGGCTGAAGGTGGGCCTCCCCCGCCCTCACCCTCTCTTTATCCCCTGCCCTCTGGATTCTCAGCCACTGCTTGCTGCTACCCCAGGCCACACACTGCCCCTCCTTTTCCTCTCTGCACCCTGCTTTCCTCTTCATTCCCTTTTCTGACCCTCCCTGTGTGGCAGGCTCCCTGGGGGTGGGAAGGGTGCCGAGGGGGTGGGAGGGCTGGTGTGGCACTCCTGGAAGTCTGCCTGAGGGCCTGAGGGGAGAGGCTGGACTGAGGCCGACCCCTGCCACCCAGATCACCAAGAAGCAGTGCTGCTGGAGCGGGGCCCTACGGCTGGGCTTCACCAGCAAGGACCCGTCCCGCATCCACCCTGACTCGCTCCCCAAGTACGCCTGCCCTGACCTGGTGTCCCAGAGTGGTTTCTGGGCCAAGGCGCTGCCCGAGGAGTTTGCCAATGAGGGCAACATCATCGCTTTCTGGGTGGACAAGAAGGGCCGTGTCTTCCACCGCATCAACGACTCTGCCGTCATGCTCTTCTTCAGTGGAGTCTGCACGGCGGACCCGCTGTGGGCCCTGGTGGATGTCTATGGCCTCACGCGGGGTGTCCAGCTGCTCGGTGAGTGCCGGCCACTGCAGGGTACACCCTTCAGCCTCTAGACGCTTGATCCCATCAGGAATAGGGACCCCTCCTTGACTGGTGGCAGCCCAGGGAGCCCTGTGTGAACTGCAGAGAGCCCTTTCCTATAGGCCTGCAGCTTTGACAGGTGGAGGCTGGGCGAGATTTCTTCCCTCTGGAGCCCCTCAGGTGGTGCCCGTGAGTGGTGCCAGGATGTAGTTAATATTAATCATTACAACCATAGTTTACAGAGGACTATGAACGTGCATCAGGCGTGTACTTCACTGTTACCCGTTGTCAGAGCAGCCCTGGGAACAGACTCCATTGCTCAGCCCATAGGGGTGGAGACTTGAGTTCAGGGAGGTTGAGTCACAGGTCCCAGGAGTAGTAGAGCCCATGCTTGGCTCTGAGTCTCCAGCTCTGTGAACTTTCCGCCCCTGGGCTCTGCAGCCCTGTGCCTATTGCTGGGATGTTGGGTACAAGGATGAGAGTAGGAGCAGAAGGAACCATTCTGGGGCAGGTAAGACTCTGCTAGCAGCAATTTCAGGGGAGCAAGAGAGCAGACATCCACTGGAGCAAGGAGGAGGAGCAGAAGGTTGCCTGAAACGGTAGGTGCCAGGCTTCCCAGCAGCAACACACATGGCAGAGCCAGAAGGGGCCACGGAGACTCTCAGACTTCCTTGGAGCACACAGTGAGTTTGTGGTTAATGTGGGACTAGAACCTAGGTCACCTGGCTCTAGGTCCAGGATTCTTAACACCTGGCTAGACCTGTGTGCACATAGATTCTGGGTACAGATCAGCCTATCAGCAAACTGGCTTTGTCTTTTTTTTTTTTTTATAGAGACAGAATCTCACTTTATTACCCTTGGTAGAGTTCTATGGCATCACAGCTCATAAGCAACTTCCAACTCCTGGGCTTAGGCGATTCTCTTGCCTCAGCCTCCCAAGTAGCTGGGACTACAGGTGCCTGCCATAATGCCTGGCTATTTTTTTGTTGCAGTTTGGCCGGGGCTGGATTTGAACCCACCACCCTCAGTATATGGGCCAGTGCCCTACCCACTGAGCCACAGGCACCGCCCCAAACTGACTTTGTCTTTCAGCAGAGCCTGCACAAGCTTCAGCTTCCTCATCTGTAAAATGGGTTGCTAGGATTATTAAATTAAAGAGGCTGGGAGTTGGCTTGGCACTTGTCGTACAGTGGTTGTGGCACCAGCCAAATGCACTGAGGCTGGCAGGTTCGAACCCAGCCTGGCCCAGCTAAGCAATAATGACAACTGCAATAGGAAAATCGCCGAGCATTGAAGCAGGCACCTGTAGTCTCAGCTACTTGGGAGGCTGAGGCAAGAGAATTGCTTAAGCCCAAGAAATTGAGGTTGCCATGAGCTGTGATGCCACAGCACTCTACTGAGGGTGACATAGTGAGACTCTGTCTCAAAAAAAAAAAAAATACAGACTGGGAGTAAAATACTCAGCAAAGTCCTGGGTACCAGTACACGCTAAAACATCACTCATTCCTTCCTCTGCCATCTGTACCCACCTCTTCCTACAGAGAAAAATGTCATGAAGGTGGTTGAAAACTATTTTTTTTCCTTTCTAACTTCAGAGCTAGAAACAGGGAAACTGTTCTTTTCAAAACACCTTTCTTGGAGTAAAAAGTCATTGAAAGTGAAAACAGAGAAATGAGTCAGAAGCCTATCTATTTGTTGAGTTCCAAACATCAGGAGGCTGTTTTTATTAACTAGCAGTTTGGGAACTTTCTGTTTTTCAACTCAATAAAAATGTTTCTGCATTTGCCCTGACATGTTAAGCGCCTGAAATGCAGCTGTTCTGGGTCTCAGCGACCGAGCAGGGAGACCAGGTGCCTGCCCAGTGCCTTTCACCTTCCTCAACCCTATGAAATGGGTGTCCCTGCAGGGCTGCCACTGCCAGAGGCAGAAAGGGTTGTGGTTACATACCTTGTGGGCCTGAACTCCAGAGACCAACAGCCTGAGGCTGGATTCTGGCCTCACCTTGGTCTAGGGGTGGGACCTCAGTTTCCTTATCTGTAAAATGGGGGCAATAATAAAATATTTTCTTGGGGTTCTTTTAAGACTTAAAGGTGACTTATGAGGAGCAGCTGACACACAGTAGGGAGTCGGTGACCATCAGTTGACCCTACCTGTCCTGGAGAGGACAATGCTTGACCTAAGGTTCCTATGAGTGCCTTGGTATCCTCAGGGCCCCACATTTCAAGGCACTGGAGTCCCAAAGCTCAAATTTGAGCTCTAGCTTGACATGTTTGTCTGCGCCTCAGTCTTCTCATCTGTATTATGGCTGTGAATACTATGACTTAGCCCAGGGCTTGACTACAAAGTGGAAGACAGAGACTGTCTCTGCTCTTGAGAGAGGCACAGTCTTGTTGGGGGGTGGACAGGTAGAAGAGGTGGGGCACCATTTTTGCTTTTCCCAAAGCAAAAAATGCCATTTCTGGCTGTTCCCACTCCAGCTTTAAGGCCTCTAAAGCCCCCTCCCCCTGAAGCTTTCACGGTAGAATTCTCTTCTCTGCCCGTGTGTCCCACCACATGGTGCCTGCACTTCTGTCAAGGCATTGGCTGAACCTGGTCTGTCCATATGTCTCTGTCCTCCTAGGACGGTGGGGAGGGCTTCTCTCCAGAGTGACTCTTGTACCCGGCTTGTGAGGTGGGCAGGGGAGAGTGATGGGATAGGTGAATGGGAGGGCAGATTACTTGTTAGATGAAGAAAAGGGGTAGGGGTGTTGAGGCAGAGCCCACCCTGTCCACAGACAGCCCTAGCTCACTAGGACGTAAGGGGATGAAGGATGCATAAAATAACCCAAGAGAAGACGGCAAGTCACTGGACACTGGTCATGGGATCCCTTCCATCTGCTGAGATGATTTCCAGCCGGTTATCTCATTTAACCCCTCAGCAGCAGGCCCCAGAAGAGTGTTTTTTATCCCCACTTGGCAAGGAGGTAACTGAGGCCCACAGAAGGCCTGGCTTGTCCTTGTAGGGATGTGGCAAGGCTGGGACTCGAACTGGATGTTCTGATACCAAAAGCAATGCCTTTTCCATTACCCCGTAGCAGGTTTAAACATAAAAGGAGGTAGGAAGTCAGAGAGGGCTGAGGTCAGTGAGAGAGGATGGACTTCAGGAAGACTTCTTGGAAGAGAAGGCTTAGGCTAGGCCTGCATGTTCCCAGAAGGTCTAGGCAGGGGGAATAAAGGGGAACAGCCCAGGTGCTTCCAGTCTTAGGGGCCGGAGAGAGGCCTACAGCTGATCTGAAGGGCCCACTGCGGACCAGAGCCCAGGCATCCGTCCCCACCCTCTCTCTGACTATAAATGGGTTTGCAATGGTATTTTCAGTTTCATTTAGATTTCCCGACAGACTCCTCTCTGTACACCCGTCCTAGCTGTAAATCAATATAATCCCTGGGCATTTTCAAACACTGATTATGACCCCTAAATTCAATTAGCAGATTAAAATATCTCTTCATTCTGTTCTTCCTAAACTGATTTTTTTTTGGGGGGGGGAGTAAAAAAAGAGTTAGAGCAAGCATTCCATTCAAGAGATTTCTGAGGTGGGCACAGTGCTCTCTGTCCCAGCTGGTGTCCCCGTCTGAGCCTTGGTTTCCTTCCCTCATCCTCTCTTCCCCTTTACCTACCTCCTGCTCCCTCAGTTGTCTGCCACCTCATTCCTTCCCTATCTCTCTGGGCCTTTCCCTCTCTCCCTTGACCTGTGTCCTCTGGCTTTTCTTGCTTTCCTTGGTGTCCCCTCCCAGCTGCTGTCTCTCCTCTAAAGAAGTTGTTCTCTGTCTTGGCAGCTCTGAGGCTGGGCCAGTCTTTCCTGGGTGATTATTCTCCAGACTAGTTTCTGATCTTTAGGGATTTTCTGCCAGGCCTACCCCAGCCCTTCCTCTGTCTGGAATCTATGGCCACAGCTCTCTAAATCTCACCTGATCTGTTTCTGCTCCACACACTCATAGTGTCCCAGGCTGTCTGGCTCATAGATATGCAGGTCAGGCAGTGGGTGGATGGGCTGTGTCCCTGGACAGAGCAGAGGCAAGGACTGGTGTCTCTCCCTGACTGACCCTCATCCTGCCCTCCCTGCCCTGACCATAATGCAGGAACATCGTTGCCCATGGGCATGGCCCTAGCAGGCCTCAAACCAGCCTGCCTCCCACTATGCCGGTGCTCAGCAGATCACCCTCTTTCCTCGGGGCATGCTGGCCCAAGCCCAGTGTGGTATCTCCAAGAATAACAGCTTCCTACCTCCAGGAAGAAGGACCCGCCAGCAACTAAATAAACACAAGTTTTATGGGGTGATTAATACTTAGAGAGAGGAGTTTCTCTCCCAGTTTTCAAAGTCTTCTTGCTCCTCTCAGAAAAGTTGACTGGAGGAGCAGCCATGAGTCCTGGCAGAAGGCTGGTGAGCCAAGACTCCATGTACGGGGTGCTGAGCATCCCTCTATGCCCGCCACAGCCCAGGCACTCTGTGGGGGAAGAGGGGGGAGAAGGAAAATTTAAACCCACCCCCTCTCTTGGAAGGTGTTTCCACTGGGGATACACCATGTGACTGATGTAAGGTGGCCTAAATCCAATTCTGCAGTTAAGTGTTCACTGAAGAGTAAAACTGTGAGGGTGCAGCTGGGGAGCAATCCAGGAGGACTTCCTGTGGGAGATGAGTTTCAAGTCAGGTAAAAACGGAGGTAAAAACAACAGGTTGGTTGAGGAGGAATCATTTGGGTCAGAGGGGAGAGGTGTGCACAGGCACGGAAGTGGGGCGTTAGCTGTCGGTAGGGGGAGCAGATCCTTTTGGGGAAAGGATGAAGTAGAAAGAGGTAGTGGGTGACTTGTGGAGGGGAGGGACATGCACCAGTGTGGGTTGTGTATGCATCACAGGGAAAAGAACCATGAGAGAAGAAAGCTTCCAGTAGCTTCTGTGCTGTCAAGTTGTTCAATAAGAGGAATTGTGGTTAAAAATGGAGAAGTACAAGACCCA